AAATTACCCAGTGAACACCTTTACATACCAGACCATGTACTAACTGCTCTACCCCTGAACAGGAATCCCATTTCTTAGATGAGGAAGCAGACACAGCAGAGTTAAGTAACTTGTTGAAAGTCACAGAGTAAGTGGTAAGTAGAACTCAAACCAGTTGAAGAGCAGATTATTCCAGTCTTAGCCACTCTGCTTCACGACCTCATTTGACCCCCCACCCTATTGTAATGCATCTACTGATGGAGAAAAGCTTGAAATTAGGTAACTTGCCTAAAGTAAGATAGCTATTAACTTGGGAGCTGGAATTTGAACCCATCCCCAATGCCAAAATCGGCCCAGTGCTGATTCCTCATGGCTCCCAAATCCTGGGCCAGGCAACAAGCACCCCCACCCCCACCCCTCCCGCTCAGCCCCAGCCTGACTGGTCAGCTTTGTTCTCCCCAGCCGTGGCTTCTCCTTTGCCCCAAATGAGATACTTTGCCACTAAAGAGAAGCCAGGTTTCCTTTGCCCTCTCTGTCCCTGCTCGTCAAACCTAAAATCGATGCACCCTTCCCACAGCCCCAACTGGAAGAAATCTCAGCCCAAGTTCACAGCTCAGTTGTAACAGTCTCAGCCTAGAGAACTTGCCAAATCAACACCGGTGGCTGTGAACAAGTGACCTGCAGAGAAGGTGCCTGCGGATAGATGGCTGAAATTGCAGAGTCCTTGCAATAGCCAGCTGCCTGCAAGTAGGAAAACGGGAGTCTGAGCGCAGAGGTCAGCTTCTGGCACCAGGCCTGACAGGAGTGTTTGCTGTGCATCGATTTTCAGTTGTTTGTCCTCCCTGACCTCCACGTCTCTGGGGGTGGTGAGTCTTCCCCCTCCCCTCCCCCAGTTGCCTTGAGTGATTCGTCCCCCAGCCTGATATTTGCCCCAGTCATACCAGCAAGCAGCTGAGGGAGCACTGGCCCCCGCTGGGCAACCAGTAGCCCCTTTGGACTTTTATTTGGGGACTGGAGAAGAGGTGGAGGGCGTCGTGATTGCCTGTGCCTCCCCTGCCCCAAGGAGAAGGCGCCTCGTGGGCATGAAGAGGGAGGCAGGGCCTCTAAGGAGCTAAGACTAAGCCTCCCTCTGGCCCTGCAGCACGAATCTGGCTGGTGTCCTGGCATCCGGAAAAGGCAGCCGCTTCTCTGAACGAGGTAAGAGTTTGTCCTGTCTGACTGTGCAAACCGTAGCATTGGTAGGAAGTCCCTCTTCTTGTAAATCAACAGTTGGGTGAAGGTCCGCACCCTGGGAGTGGGACAGGCCTCAGGTCGCTGCAGAGTAAAAAGCGGGCAAGAGGAGGCGGCCGCTGCCAGGCTGGAGGCATCAGGCAGCAGCTCTGCCAGAAAGCTCCTTGTTTCCTGGGCACGGCTGGTGCGCGGGGCTCACCGAGGAGACTCGCGCTCTCGCCCTGCTGATGACAGAAGGTGGACGGGGAATGGGCCTCATCCCGGGCACGCAAGGGAGGAAATGTCCATGTCACCAGCAGCAGCATGCTAGAGGCCGAGCCGTGTGCCCGGGTGTCCGCCCCAGGCCGGCCTGCCTCTCTTCGCAACTCACAGCCTCTGAGCGGAGATGCCGGCCAGCGGGCCAGTGCCACTACCGCCGGGTGCTGGGGGCCACGGAAGAGACGCCGCGTCAAGATCTGACCATCTCGAGGAGGGTTGAAGGAAGAAGCTGAAGCTGAAAGAACAATTTGTAATTGGACAGGCAGACAGAGATGGGGAAAGAGCAAACTGGTCGCCAGGGACAGTCTGTGCCAGGCTCAGACACAGACTGACGTGTCCCAGGATCAAAGGGAGATCAAAGGGCCTGGGGCGCAGCGCTGGGTGAGTGGTTTGGGAGGTGCAGCCAAGCAGGGGAGCAGGGCCGGGCCAGCTCGGGGACTTGGGGAGCCCTCCGGGCAGAGGCGCGCTTGAACAGCCAATCTGAGGGTGCACCAGGGCGGAGGGCATCGGTGTGGCCCAGCGGCTACTGGGAGAATTTGGATGATGTGTCTGTGCAAGGCAGGACCGATTTTTCCCCAAGCCTGTTACCGAACAGAGTCTTCTGTAAAACCCAAAAATCAAAATGGAATATTGAAGTCGAATAATAAAAGCCTCTGTCAGGTTGCCACCGACATTTCTAGATGGTTCCTCCGCTCCTTACTGTCCCAGCACAGAGCCGCAAGCCTTAAGCTACACTGACTCCGGCTGGGTCTCTGCTGAGTCGCGGGACATACAGGCAGAGGCTGAACC